ACCAGAGAGCCAGGGCCAAACTCATTTCTTGAAGAAGTAGGTTTGTCCTTTCTTCAGAGACATGACAACTAAACAAGCTCCTCTTAGAAATGGAGAAGGTTCTTTCTGGTTTTTATTCTCCTTGTTCAGGCTTTGTCATCAGCTGATAAATTCGCTGATTTTATGTCTAGGACAATTATTGCTTGAGCACAATTTAAATTCAAAGATGAAGCGAAAACTTTTCTTTGTGCTCATCCTGTGTTGGCACATTTTGTAGATTCAGTACTGGGGGCTCTTGCTGAGGCTGAACGATATCCAGAAGGTTATAGGACCTGACATGTACAGAATCAAGGGATATTTTAAAAAATGTTTTTTAGGGGAATATTCAATGTCTACTTGTCCTTTATCTCCAAGTACACCTAATATATTATTATTTGAATGCCTGTGTGTAATGTCTCTCAACCTTAACATGTCAGAATGAGCTTTTCTTATTTCTACTCTATACTCAGCTACCTCTTGCATGTTTTCCCTTTGTGTGCTGGAAAGAGTACTGGACTCAGAGTCAGGAGACCTGTAATGAAATCCTTTCTCCACCAATTACTAGCTGTGTGACTTTTGGCAAGTTATTTAATCTCTCTGAGTCTCAGTGCTTCCTCATTAGTATTGTGATAAATAAAAAATTCAAGAGACATAATTTCTGGGTAGTCATTTTATTAATTATGGCTAATGAATAATTAATAAAAAATGGTCATTTGACCTTCTCTTGTAAACTAAAGATGATCATGGTGGCTTCATGATGCTTATATGCCCTTGGAAGAGTGAGAGTTTCCAATAGGCAGCAATTAACTAGTTATCAATTTGTTAACAATCAGTTGGTTAACAGTTAATGAGAAGAATGAATATTATAGTGAGAGGTGGACCTATTCTAATAAGAGAGTGGGAATGTGACTTTGATTATGTCACTCTTACTCCCAGACCACCCGAAGCCTCAAGTTTTGACAATCCAAACAAAGGATCAAGGCCCCACCCAAGCCTGAGTAAAACACTTTGGGCTTCCCCAGTTGGGCTGGGTCTGAACCAGATAGAGGAGAATGTTAAATCCAATCTCATTATAGGAAATAGGAAGGGAAAAAATCTTGGATCTCCCCAGTGTTAACAATCGGTTATTTAATAAACATTTCTCTCAGTATAATGGGGCAATAATACTTGTACTACCTACTTTATAGGGTTGGCATGTGAAACACGTTCTGTAAAGCTTGAAGTGGTATAGAAATATAAACTAGTGAAATGTAGCATAGTGTAGTGGCTAGAGAGCTGGACTTGAATTCAGTAGACCCAAGTTCCAGTCTTGCCTCTGACACAAACTGGCTGTGCATCCATAGGTAAGACATTTAACCAGTGCCCAAAACAACTTTCTAAGGGTGTGATTTACAGAGTAGATTCAGATCGGCATTGGTAGTCCATCTTTTTTTCCCCCATCATTTCTTTTTTTTTTTTATTAATTTATTTTGATTAATCAATAATCACTTCCATATGCTTTTGAATTTAAAATTTTTCTCCCCCTTCCTCCACACCACCCTCCCCAAGATGGCGCACAATCTGATATAGGCTATACATTTACATTCCTATTAAACATATTTTCACATTAGTGATGTTGTAAGTAAAAATTAAAACCAATAGGAGGAACCATCAGAAAAAGGAAACAAAACTCAACAGAAGAGAAAAAAAAAAGCAATTCAACTTCCATAGTTCTTTCTTTGGATGTGGATAGCATTTTCCATCATGAGGCCTTTGGGGATGTCTTAGATCCTTGTATTGCTGAGAAGAGTTAAGTTTATCACTGTTAGTCATCGCACAACATGGCTGTTATTGTATACAACGTTCTCCTGGTTCTGCTCACTTCACTCAGCATCAGACCATACAAGTCTTCCCAGGTTTTTGTGAAGTCAGCCTGTTCGTCATTTCTTATAGCATAATAGTATTTCATTACATTCGTATACCACAACTTGCTCAGCCATTCCCCAGTTGATGGGCATCCTCTCAATTTCCAATTCTCTGCCACTACAAAAAGAGCTGTTATGAATATTTTTGTACATGTGGGTCCTTTTCCCTTTTGTATGATCTCTTTGGGATATAGCCCTAGAAGTGCTATTGCTGGGTCAAAGGGTATGCACATTTTTATAGGTCTTTGGGCATAGTTCCAAATTGCTCTCCAAATGGTTGGATCATTTCACAACTCCACCAACAATGCATTAGTGTTCCAATTTTCCCACATCTTCTCCAACATTTATTATTTTCCTATTTTGTCATGTTGACCAATCTGATAGGTGTGATATGGTACCTCAGAGTTGTTTTGATTTTCATTTCTCTAATCAATAATGATTTAGAGCATTTTTTCGTATGACTATAGACGGGGTAGCCCGTCTTTAGAAATGTCTTATACCAGTGAAATTATAGGTCTAATCTAAAAAGAAGGCCCTTAAAATTAGAAATATAAGTTGTTATTGTCTTCACCAGCACTACCACTCTTCTGGTTCTCTGGGTAAATTGACTGTGTCAATTTGTCATTCATCTTTCTCTTTTGCCTTCTCCACATCCAAGCCATTAGTTAATGTAGTCAACAAGCATGTATTTAGTGCTTACTATATGCCAGAGGTAAGGGATACAATGAAAGGCAAAAATAGTCCTTGCTTTCAGAAATTAACTGAGTTAGCTGAAGAATGGCTGAGGTTTGGCAGTGGAGAGACTTGAGGCAGGAACACTGACCAGAAGCTATTTCAACAGCCCAGGGGTGAGATGATCAGGGCCTGTACCTGGTTTGTGTGAGTGAAGAGGGTATGAATATGGAAAAAATTGTGAAGAAGGAGGTACCCTGGTGGGAGGGGATGAGATCAAGGGTGCATGTAGAGGGATCAGCTTTGTTAAGGACAAGGGCCACTTCATTGGAGACAGTAGTGAAGGAGGAAATAGTGGGGGAGGATGTTTGAATGATGTGAGATTTGGTGGAGGGGAGAAGATGGAGCTCTGAGGAATGGCCTCAGGTATTCCTGGTAAAGTACGATGCAAGCTTTTTGGCTGAGGGGGGAAGGGGAAGCAAAGGGCTTGAAGAGAGAGATAGTTTAGAACAGCTGCTTTGGGGAGTGGTCTAGGCAATCAGTTTGGGAGGAATAGAATGTCAGCCCTGCTGCAGAGTAGGCCCAGTTGAGAGTGGATGGCATGAATTTGTAGTGTCCCTAGTTAGCAGAATTTAGTGATTTGTTCAGTTCCATTTGTCAGCATGAGAGTAAGAGCTTAGGAAGTAGAGAGTGAGAAAGCCATCGGTTTGGGGTTTGGTGTGGAGTAATCAGAAATAGGACAGGGGGAGCAGGGGATACAAGAGATGAAGATTCTGTCGAATTACCAAATTCTGCTAATGATTTCAACACAACCTCTTTACGCTTTGTAGTGGCCTCTTCTCTGCTTTTCAGACGTATCTTTCCCCACTCCAGTCTGCCCTCTACACAGCAACCAGCATATTTATTAGACACTTGCCTGTTTCAAAACATACAATGACTCCTTAGTGCCTTTGGATTAAATCCAACCTCAGCCTGTCATCCAGGACCTTGTGCCAACTTGCTTATTTATGCCATCCCATCTAATTCCTTATCACTGCCTTCTGTGGCCTCCATCTAGCTTCATTTTACTAGCAACAGCTTCTTCCTGTTTCTCTGTGCATTACACATTTAATTCATCCTCCCTGGAATGTCCTTGGCTCTCCTTTATTCCAATCTGTGTTTTCATTTTCAAAATTCACCTCCAGAACTCACCTTCTATGATTAACCCAGTGTGATTCTGTTCCCTCCTCTACTAGGCGCGAAAATGAATTGAATATTGAATGTTATTAGCCCATAAAGAGCCCTTCGGTATATTTCGTCTGTTTTCTCCTTCTTTTTCCAGTTTTCTTATCTAGTTGGCCAGTTCACACTGTTCATTCATACTGATCTGGCAATCCAGTAAAACTCAATTTTTCCCCTCACATGACCCAGTTGTCTAACCATGCCTTTATCCTATATGTATACTAGTGATGTGGGGAACCCACGCGTAGTATTTTTATAGTGAGCTCTCACTTGATACCAAATCATCAGCAATGCTGAAACAGGAAGAAATCACTTAATTGTGCTGACTGGGTGGGGATGCTACAAATTTATGTCATCTACTCTCATCTGGGTCAGCTCTGCATCAGGGCTGACATTATATTCCTCTCAAATTGATTCCCTATCCCACTTCCTAAAGCAGCTGTCGTAAACCTTGTCTGTGTTTAGTTAAATGAAAGATGAAATCCAAGTTTCTAGTTTAAAGTGAAATTCCTCATCCAGATTCTCCATTTACCCAGTGGGTAGCACTTCAGTTATTATTAAAATGCACTTGTTCAGACACCTAAAATAAACTTACCTTGAGTACTGTTGATTTTGAGGGCTGTTTTACTCATAGTGGGGCAGGTGTAGAAAAAACTATGAGACAGGAAACTAAATGAAACTTTATCCTCAGGGACCTCAGACAAGCCTTAGGAAGCCACATTCTGTGACATCTAGATCAGTAATTGGCCAGAAGGTTTGGGTGTGCTGTTATTATCCCTACATCCCTTGTTGTGTTGAACGGTTCTTATAAATTCTTCTGTGTCTCAGAGTGAGCTGCCGTCTTCCTTTCCTAGTAAAGAATATGAAATAAAATATACCTTTGGTCTGAATTTGGTGTGTCATGAAGTAAGGGGGAAAAGTGATTTGTTTTTGTAGGAAGGGAGTCCATTCAGTTAAAAATAATTGTTGAGGGGTAACTAGGTGGCACAGTGGATAGAGCACCGGAAATCCATCCTCAGACACTTGACACTTAATGGCTGTGTGACCCTGGGCAAGTCACTTAACTCCAATTCCCCCCCAAAAAAATAGTAATAGTAATTGTTGAAGGGATTGTAATACATGATCTCTGAGGTCTCTTTTAATACTAATTACCTATTAATTTATGATTTCTTCACCATTTTTTAGGATTCACAAATTCGGCAAAGTACAACCTATAGTTTACACCAACCTCAGGGAAATAAAGAACATGGGACTGAAAGGAATGGTAATCTCTACAAGAAAAGTGATGGGTGAGTCAAGTATTTTGCAAAATGGAATTTTTTTTTTATACTATTTGTATTAAATTTGAGACTCAATTTTTGTGTTCTTTTTAAAAACAGGATCAGAAAAGTATGGCAAAAAAGGAAATGCTCAGTTAAAAACGGTTTTCTGACAATATCCCATGGTACAGTAAGTACTTCGCCCCACCAAAAAAATTCTTGTTCTCTCATATAGGCATATGTTTGTGTATTTTATGAGGCTGAAATATGTTAATTTTGTTTTTTGGGTTTTTTTTGTTTTTTTGAATTGTACATGACTTGTATTTTTAGAGTGATAAAACTGAAGGGCAGCATGGTGTAGTGGATAGAGAACCGGCTTCAGAATCAGGAAGACCTGCATTCAGGCCTTGCCTTTGACTCTTACTAGCTGTATAACCATGGACAAATTATTTAACCACTCAGTGTTCTACATAGCTCTTTAAGATGAATATGTAGAGTAATAATAATAACAGTAACAAAAACTAACATTTATATAATGCATAGTGTAGACCAGGCACCATGCTAAGTGTTTTACAAATACTATTTTATTTGATCTTCACAACAACCCTGAAAGGTGGGTGCTATCATTCCCACTTTACAGATGAAGAAACTGAGGCAAATTGTGTTTAAGTTATTTGCCCAGAGTCATAGAGCTAATAAATATCTGAAACCAGATTTGAACTCCAATCTTCCTGACTGCAGACCCAGCCATCTTATCCACTGTGCCACCTAGATGCCTCAGAGTAGCTACATATAGCCTTGGTAAAATGAGTGTCTCAACCAGTGAAGTCAGGTACAAACAAACAAACAAGATAGGACTTTGGTGTTGAGGAGAAAAAAGGCTCATTGGGGTTGGGTTTTTTTCCCACATTTTTAGTGTATGATAATATCTGAGCAGCTACAGTTCCCTTTTCCAGTGAAAGGGAAAC